CTAAGGGTTCATTTTCCTGACATCACATTATCTGACCTTTTCCGCTTGACTCGTACATATACTAGATATTTCCTGAGCTTCTTTTGCTAACACTCTACCACTTGAGCCACAGTGCCGCTTCTGGCTTTTTCTGTTTATGTGGTACTGAGGAATTGAACCCACTAAGTCACATTCCTAGCCTGTTTTTTTTTTTTTTATTTTTAATGACAAACCAAGTGTTGTTTATCCAGGCATGATAGTACAATCAGGAAGAATTCCAGGTTATCCTGGACAACATAGTGAAGACCTTACATCGAAGCAAACCAGTGAACAGGCAAACAATGGTTATTGAATTGCATTTGGGCTCAGAAAGCTGTATCTTTATGCACGTCTACTGGTTTTCCTTTTAGCTTGGGTATGGCCTACCCTCTGGTCTGGTGGGATCCTCAGTCACAGGAGGCAGGAAATAGTGGCCACATTGCCCATAGCTTCCCCAAATTCTGTCCCCTTTTGCCATTTCTATCAAAAGAGGGTGAGGGTGCTGGTGCATAGGCCTGCCTCTTCAGTACAAGACTAGGGCTGGGGATGTCGCTCAAGTGCTAGAGCATCTGCCTGGCAAGTACAAGGCCTTAAAGGAGCCCAGGACTACAGAAGATAAGAGTTCTAAGAGAGAGGCATTTTTTTTTGGGGGGGGGGTGTGTTTTGTCTGAGGATCAGAGCTACAAGATAGGAAGTAGAAACACAAGTGAGATAATACTTCTTCCTAAGTCTTAGCTGCCTAACTTTGCTATTTTTTTCCAGGCCTTTTCTGAGGTGAGGCAATTGGCCGCTCTATTCTATAAAAATAAGAAATAAACCAGGGTCTGGATAGAATGCAAAAGCTACGATATGGGATACCTACTGACCTTGTCTTTCACTTCCCCTGTGCCTCCACTCAAGGTTGAACAAGATCTGTAGTGGTCTCTCCTTTCAGAGGAAAAACCAATTCATGCAACGGCTTCACAACTACTGGCTGTTGAAACGGCAGGCACGGAATGGTGTTCCCCTCATCAGGCGCCTTCACTCCCACTTACAGTCCCAAAGAAACGCTGAACAGGTAAGTGCAGCAGTGACTAGAGACCTGGGGAAGGTAGAGAATGAAGAAGAGGAAACATGGTAGAGGTGGTGCTGGCTTCCCTTCCCAAGCCCTCTGTACAGCCTTTGCCTATATAAGGGATCACCTGTGTGGGCAGTCTGTCTCAGGAATAATCTCCAACACTACAGAGACTAAACCTGACAATGGGAGCAAATTCTGACCTAGGGCATGGGAGAGTGAAGGAGCTAGCCCAACTTCCCATGTATATATGGGGGAAACCTTCCAAACGTGGCAGAAGAGAAAATGGGTTTGAATATAGCCAATTCACATGGTGTGAATTAGGAAAAGGTGCCAGAAAATGCTATCTGCCAGAAAATCTATTAGAGTAAATATACAAATTTACAATCTTCCTTGTGCACAATCTGTCCAGTTGTAGTGGCTGCTTGTCATTGTCACTTGGAGTTGCTGCACATTTAAGTTTTCTTTCTATGAAACAATTTCCCACCTCTTCCATTTTCCTGTACCCTATGCTGATCCCACTTCTTGCCCCTTAATGTCTAGAGTCCTTGCGCATCTGTTATCTGTTTATTTGGAGAATATGTTCACTGTCATCATTGACAATAACTGAGTAGTTTCAGATTTTTGTCTTGTTCTCATCCCTCTGTTGGGCAGTACTCAGATTTGAACTCAGGGCCTCATACTTACTTGGTTTACTTGCTTGGCTGACCTGCTACCACTCAAGTCACTCCTCTAGCTCTGCTTTTTTTGCTGTTATTTTGGAGATGGAGTCTTAAGGGCTTTTCTGCCCTGGTGGCTTCAATGTAATCCTCCAGATCTCAGTCTTCTGAATAGGATTATATGAGTCACTGGTGCCTGCTTCTCATTCATTTTTTCTGTGCTCTTGTATGCTTTGGGATGCTTCCATGTGGATGTTGTTACCTGTAACTCAGATATTGGAAACTGAATTGTCTTCCTCTTAATTAGCTTATTTCCCATTTTTGTCATGGAACTCTTCTCTTTCCTTACCAGGAGTTCCTTGGAGTTAGTTTTGGCCATAAAGGTCATAGTTCATGTCCCATGAGTTGTTTGGAGGGATTTATCAGTACATGGCCCTTTATTGCCATTCTGTATTCTTCCTATCCATGCTACCTTAACCTTAATGACAGCATTCTAGGTAGTTTCCAGTCTCTGCTTCATTTGTTGCTCTACAAGTGGTAGTATCTAACTCACATGCCAGTTTCTATTCTCTCACTTCCTTTTCCAGAATGTATTTTCTTTCCACAAAGTCCATGATAAGGCTTTTTAGCTTGGCATTCGAGGCTTCATCCGGGACCTGGATCTTCATGCCTTGTGAGGTTCCCCAGCTTCTCTGCTGTTGCCTATGCATTTTGCTCAGTAAGCAAAGAATCACTAGTGGTTCTAGAAAAGGCCTTGCTGCTTGCCCATCCATCTTTACCATTGTGTGTGAAGCTCTTATGAGATTGCTTTTTCCAACTTAACCCTACTCCCATCCTCTCTATATTGTATCCTCTCTGCATTGATATTCTCTTTTTTCTTTTCTTTTCTTTTTTTTCCATTTCTGGGGCTTGAACTCAGGGCCTGGGCACTGTCTCTGAGCTTCTTTTGCTTAAGGCTAGTACTCATCACTTGATTTGAGACACAGCACCACTTCTGTTTTTTTCTGTTTATGTGGTACTGAGGAATTGAACCCAGGGCTTCATGCATGCTAGGCAAGCACTCTACCACTAAGCCACATTCCTAGCCCAACTGTGACCTTCTCTAGGACAGATTCAAATTATTTGTTATTTTAACAAGTATTTTCAAATCTCTTAGTACAAGCTAATAGTAAAACCTTGACTTTGTTTTCTAGCCAAGTCAAAGCTCTAGAGTGAGATTTTTTTTCCACCCTTGAGGTGTCTATTAATTTTCCTCTGAAATTCTTTCTATGGCCCCTGCGGGCTATAAGTCATCCTGGGAATCCCTAGGGAATGAAGAAAGAGTCTCAGATCCTTCTCCAGCAGTGGTTCTTGTGCTTCAGTGAAGAAACAGTGTTAGAAGGTGGGGGAGATGGGCTGGAAAGGCACTCTGGCTCAGGGTCAGGGAAGGAACAAGATTGCTGTCTGCTGAAGCTCTGTGAGGTTGAACAGGGAGAGGCCTTGGGAAGGAAGGAGGCCCCAGCTCTTCCTCCTCTTACTTCTTTTTTTCTGGGGGGGTCCAGTTGTGGGGCCTGAACTCTGGGCCTGAGCGCTGTCCCTCAGCTCTTCAGCTCAAGGCTAGCACTATACCACTTGAGCCACAGTGCCACTTCCGGCTTTTTTTTTTCTGCTTATGTGGTGCTGAAGAATCAAACCCAGGGCCTCATGCATGCAAGGCAGGCACTTTACCACTGAGCCACCTTTTCCCAGCCCCTCCTCTTACTTCTTGCAGCGAGAGCAGGATGAGAAGACTAGTGCAGTGAAGGAAGAGCTGAAATACTGGCAGAAGCTTCGGCATGATCTGGAGCGGGCACGGCTGCTGATTGAGCTGATTCGGAAAAGAGAAAAGCTCAAACGGGAGCAGGTAAGGAAGAGGCCCTGGCTCTGGGCTCTTGTTCAAGGTCCCTTCCTTCCTCTTATTCTTAGTGTGGTATTGAGAGACACAGGAGCCACTGCCTGGCCAGTCTTTTCTCCCTTTCCTCTCCAGCTCCACGGGTTCTAAGATCTGCATCCATTGATAGCTTCTGTGTTTTGGGGTTCTGCTTGCTGTGGCCCCAAACATAAGCTTAACCTATATACTTCAGTCCATACCTAGAGTTTCTGAGGGATTTTTGGAGGGAGGCTGACCTGACAAGTATTTTGAGAAGCTTCTTTTTGTTTTTTGTTTTTTTTTTGGTCGGTGATGGGGCTTGACCTCTGGGCCTGGGCGCTGGCCCTCAGCTCTTTAGCTCAAGGCTAGCACTCTACCACTTGGGCCATAGCTCCACTTCTGGCTTTTTCTGCTTATGTGATGCTGAGGAATCGAACCCAGGGCCTCATGAATGCAAGGCAAGCACTCTACCACTGGGCCACCTTCCCAGCCCTTGAGAAGCTTCTTAAGCCATCCTAATGGCATTTTGGTTGGAGAACCTCTGGCCTGAGATTCTTGCTTGGCCCTTAAACATTTGTACTCTTCAATTGTATAAAAATTTGGGCCTCAGTTCAAAGAGATTCTGAGTCCTAAAACATGGAAGATGTTGAGATAGGTGATATAGTATAGTGATTTAGGAACTTGAGCTGTGGCACCAGACTGGGTTTAAATCCTGTGTAACATTAAACAAATTGCTTCATCTCTCAGTTCTATTTCTTCATCTGTAATATGGGGTTGATAATAGAGCTGCATCATAAGGATATAAAAACAGCTTATTACAGTGCCTGGCATATATTAAGGCCATAGAAGTGTTCATTGTTGTCATTATGTTGATAATCCTTGTCTTGCTGCAATATCTATTATAGCGTTAACATACATGGCAGAGAACTAATACTTTTTTTTTGTCAGTCATGGGTGCTGTCCCTGAGTTCTTCAGCTCAAAGTGAACGCTTTATCATTTGAGCCAGAGCACCACTTCCGGTTTTCTGGTGGTTAATTGGAGATGAGTCTCACGGACTTTCCTTGCCCAGGCTGGCTTTGAACTGCGATCCTCAGATCTCAGTCTCCTGAGTAGCTAGGATTACAAGCGTGAGCCACTGGTACCCTGCTTAACTAGTACTATTAATTGAATGGTTGATAAGCCAAAACTATTCTCTCAGGTCCAGGAACAGCAGTTTTACTCGCATGCTTCAGAGGCCTGCGTTAAGATTGTTCCTTTCTCTCTTTCTCTAAACCTTACATCACTGTTCAGCTCTAGCCTTTCTCTAGTAGACCAAAGGCCTTGAGATTCCATTTCTGTTCCTGGGCTGCTCTTGACTGCTCTTGACATATAAAAGGGCAAGTGAGGGGCTGGGAAGGTGGCTCAGTGGTAGAGCGCTTGCCTTGCATGCTCAAGGCCCTGGGTTCGATTCCTCAGCACCACATAAGCAAAAAGAAAAAAGCCGGAAGTAGTGCTGTGGCTCAAGTGGTAGAGCGCTCGCCTTGAGCTGAAGAGCTGAGGGACAGCGCCCAGGCCCAGAGCTCTAGCCCCATGACTGACCAAAAAAAGAAATTCGACTATAGTTCACAGTTTTGGAGATTGGGAAGTTCAGGGGCATGGTGAGTCTGATGAGGGCTCTCCTGCTGCATTATTTTCTCTTGGTGGAAAAGTAAAGGATGAGGGAGCACGTGAGGGAGAGCTTGCCTTTATAACAAAATTACTCCAAGAGGAAATAACTCACTCCTGTGACGACTCCCCAGAGAACTCCCTTAAGCTGTTCATGAGAGTGGAATTCTCATGTCATAAACATCTCCCAGCTGGGTGCTAGTAGCTCAGTAATCCAACCTAGCTACTCAGGAGGCTGAGATCTGCAGATCACGATTCAAACACAGCCTGGGCAGGAAAGTCTGTGAGACTCTTAGTTCCAATAAACCACCAGAAAACTGGAAGTGTGCTGTAGCTCAAAGTGGTAGAGTGCTAGTTGTGAGCAAAAGAGCTCAGGGACAGCACCAAGGCCCCTAGTTCAAGCCCCATGACAGATTAAAAAAAAATACCTCCCATTAGATCCCACTTCCTAGCACTCCCACAGTGAGAATGAAGACTCCAACACTGGACTTTGGGGAGACATTCAAATCATAACACTGTTGGTGTTATTATGCCTAAGCTGAGGATTGGGTGATAGCATTTCTTATCCTGGTCAGCTGTGAAAATCTTTGTATGCAATTGATGACAATCAAGTTATGAAGACGATCCAGGGCCTTTGCAGGGCTGTTGTAATTGCTTCCTGTCTCTCCTATAGATCAAGATCCAGCAGGCTGCCATGGAGCTGGAGCTGATGCCATTCAATGTTCTGCTCAGGACAACACTGGACCTGCTGCAGGAGAAGGATCCCGCACACATCTTTGCGGAACCTGTCAACCTGAGTGAGGCAAGTTCCCCTACTTCCCAAGCAGCAAACCTGTTCTGAATTAGACACAGATTGAGGAGACCAAGAAGGGGCTGGGCCTCAATGTGTTCAGAACCGAGGGTGGGGGTGGTGTCTACTCACACCTGTACTCTTGCCTGTGGTGAGTAGTTAGCAGGAGGTCAGGGTTGGGCCAGGGCCCTGAGGCACTGAGTTAGCCTGGCATGGCTAAACCAGAAAGTGGGGAAGCCAAAAGTGCCGGTGAAGGGTGCACCTGTTTGGCTAGTAAATGGTTGTTGTAATTGTACAGGTTTTATATGTTTAGGTTCCAGATTACCTGGAATTCATATCCAAGCCAATGGATTTTTCTACTATGAGGCGGAAGCTGGAGTCCCACCTGTACCGCACCTTGGAGGAGTTTGAGGAGGACTTTAACCTTATAGTTACCAACTGCATGAAGTATAATGCTAAAGACACAATTTTCCACCGAGCAGCTGTCCGCCTGAGGGACCTGGGAGGGGCCATCCTGCGGCATGCCCGGCGGCAGGCAGAGAACATCGGCTATGACCCCGAGAGGGGCACTCATCTCCCCGAATCACCCAAATTGGAAGACTTTTACCGCTTCTCCTGGGAAGACGGTGAGAAGCCCAGATGGATGGGGAGGAGAGGGACCAGGAAGAGTCACAAGGTCAGGGCCCAGAGAGCTAAAGGTCAGGATGGGCCTTGGTGTTTTTTTTGTTTTTATTTTTGTTGGTCATGGGGCCGGAACTCTGGGCCTGGGCGCTGTCCCTCAGCTCTTCAGCTCAAGTCTAGTGCTCTACCACTTGAGCCACAGCGCCACTTTCAGCTTTTTCTGCTTATGTGGTGCTGAGGAATCAAACCCAGGGCCTCATGCAGGCAAGGCAAGCATTCTACCACTGAGCCACCTTCCCAGCCCTAGGCCTTAGAGTTTTAGAGTAGACTAATAAGCAAAGCCAGGGATAGGCACAGACTAGAGTGTGGAATAATTTCAAGGGTTAAAGTTCAACTGTGCACTGAGCACTCTTGAATGGTAAGAAAAGAGTAGCTTTTAGGAAAGCTAAATCCTCACCAGGAGTCTTCCTCTCTTGGATCCACTTTGTGTGGCATCGAAGCACGGGGCAGAGTATAATGCTGGTGTGAGCATGTTTCATTCAGAAGAGTACAGATGGAGGATCAGAAAAGTATAGATGCTTCTGAGCCCCACACGCTGCCTGCCCCTGCCCTCTGCCTGTCGATGGCAACAGCAAAATAATCACTGAGTCTTGTGCCTACTCCATGGAGCCTGTAATCATGACTCCGTGAACTGCTTGACTGTGAACTGTTTCCTGCAGATGTTTTCCACATTCTGACTTTGTCCCTGAGACTGCCTTCCAGTCACCAATGTTACAGGCCAAGACCCTGTGATACTGCTGGAAGCCAGCAGTCATACTGGCCTAGACAGTCATACACCCAAAGGACTTGGTTTCTTTCTCTTGTCCTGGGCCAGGCAGGTCCTTCAGTTTCCTCTGTCCTCCCTTCTCCCTGACAGTGGACAACATCCTCATCCCAGAGAACCGGGCACATTTGTCCCCAGAGATGCAGCTGAAGGAATTGCTGGAGAAACTGGATCTGGTGAGCGCCATGCGGTCCAGTGGGGCCCGTACCCGTCGTGTCCGCATGCTACGCCGGGAAATCAATGCCCTTCGGCAGAAGTTGGCACAGCCACCACCACTACAGCCACCATCATTGAACAAGACAGTATCTAATGGAGAGCTGGCAGCAGGGTCCCGGGGGGATGTGTCTGTGTTGGAGCAGGTCCTGCAGGAAGAACCAGAAGATGATGGTGACAGAGGTGAGAGAAGGTCACAAGCATGGTGCTAAAGTGGGTGAGAGGGGCAAGCGTTAAGCTGACATCTCTTGAGAGTACCGTCCTCAGGTTTAGATCTGACCCTGTAGGCAGGCAAAATCCCTGGACAGTATCACACTTCCATATGCTCAGGGAGGGAATAATATTCAAAATATTGAATGATCAATAAGATCTGTCAGAGTAGATAGTGGCTTTGTATTGGACTGGGCTCCTGAGGGTCCCTTATGTAGATGTTTAGTTGCTGCATTGTAGGCGGGAGTTAAGGGAGTTTCAGATGCTGGAGCATAATAAACAGCTAGCTAGCTGTTTATTAGCCAGTTAAGAAGTATTATGGGGGGCTGGGAAGGTGGTGCAGTGGTAGAGCGCTTGCCTAGCATGCCTGAGGCCCTGGGTTCGATTCCTCAGCACCACATAAACAAAAAGAAAAAAGCCAGAAGTGGCGCTATGGCTCAAGTGGTAGAGTGCTAGCCTTGAGCTGAAGAGCTAAGGGACAGCGCCCAGGCCCAGAGCTCTAGCCCCATGACTGACCAAAAAAAGAAATTCGACTATAGTTCACAGTTTTGGAGATTGGGAAGTTCAGGGGCATGGTGAGTCTGATGAGGGCTCTCCTGCTGCATTATTTTCTCTTGGTGGAAAAGTAAAGGATGAGGGAGCACGTGAGGGAGAGCTTGCCTTTATAACAAAATTACTCCAAGAGGAAATAACTCACTCCTGTGACGACTCCCCAGAGAACTCCCTTAAGCTGTTCATGAGAGTGGAATTCTCATGTCATAAACATCTCCCAGCTGGGTGCTAGTAGCTCAGTAATCCAACCTAGCTACTCAGGAGGCTGAGATCTGCAGATCACGATTCAAACACAGCCTGGGCAGGAAAGTCTGTGAGACTCTTAGTTCCAATAAACCACCAGAAAAC